GGCTTGCCCAAGGCCATCCAGCCAGGTGCAAGTGGAGGAGTGGGGAATCAAACCCGGTTCTCCCAGATTAAAGTCCACGCACTTAACCATGACACCACACTGGCTTTTAATCTGAGTGCCTGTCTTTAAAGGGGGAGGCTCCAAGCCTGTTTCTAGCCCTTCCTGTCAAGGGACGAGGCAGCGAGCCCATCAGTACCTAGGAGAAAGCCGCTCAGAGGGCATTTAAATGGCTTTCGAGTTCCCTTCCGCAGGGCAAGAGGGCTTAGAAGGGCACCCTCAATACATCTCCAACAACCCCCCTAGGTCATGGTCAAAAAGAAGGTTTCTGGTACAGCTATTTGTGGGGGCGGGGCTTTTAACTAAGGGGGCGGGCCTGGTCAGACATGCATCGCTTCCATCTCCACCCCGGCAGGAACTCACCGTCCGGTTTGTACTGAGCAATGATGGTGACAGTCTGGCCAGCGTTCTTCAGAGCGATGGCCGCCTGCTCGTGAGTAGCGTTCCTGAGATCCACACCGTTGACCTGGGAAGGGAAACGCACCAGGGTGACTCAACCTGAGCTGGGGGGGCCTCCTCCTGCCCGCCTGCCAGCCAGCCACCCGACGGCTCTCCTCACCGAGAGGATCTGGTCCCCTTTCCGCAGCTCCCCGCTGAGGTCGGCGGGTCCCCCGGCCAAGATGAAGGAGATGAAGATCCCCTCGCCGTCCTCGCCCCCCACGATGTTGAAGCCCAACCCCGTTGAGCCACGGTGAATGACGATGCGACGGGGTTCCCTGCGGGGAGACAGAACGGGGGAGGGAAATCAGGCGCCAGGTTCTGACTGGGGGGGGGGAGGAGTCGGAGCGGCCTGAAAGCGAGGCCAACCCCACACGTCGGAGAAGCACGGCAGTCCGAACATTCGGCACTGAGGGGAAAGTTCAGGAGGGGACACGAAAGGTCAAAATATTTGGAGTTTAAAGACTCTGTGGCTACTGGGAAGAGCCAGATACGGGATGGGTGGCCTGGAAGACCGGCAGAACCTGGTGGCTGGGTAATGGAGAGAAACGAGGGGAGGGGCCGTGGTGAGGTGGCAGAGCCTCTGCTTGGCATGCAGAAGGTCCAAGGTTCAATCCCCGGCATCGCCAGCTAAAGAGGACCTGGCAGGAGATGATGTGAAAGACTTTTATCTGCCTGTGCTCCAGTGTGAGTAGGCGATACTGACCCTGGGGGACTAAGGGTCTGTATAAGGCAGCTTCACGGGGAGGGGCCGTGGCTCAGTGGAAGAGCCTCTGCTTGGCCTGCAGAAGGTCCCAGGTTCAGTCCCCGGCATCTCCAGTGAAAAGGACCAGACAAGAGATGATGGGAATGGCCTTTCTCTGCTCGGGACCCTGGAGAGCTGCTTCCAATTTGAGTTGGCAATACTAGCCTTGATGGACCGAGGGTCTGACTCAGTAGGAGAAGGAGGAGGAGGAGATTGGATTTATACCCCTCCCTTCACTTGGAATCTCAGAGCAGCTTAAAATCCCCTTTCCCTTCCCCTCCACACAACAGACACCCTGTGAGGTAGGTGGGGCTGAGAGAGCTCTTGACAGGAACTGCTCTTTTTTCAAGGACAGCTCTGAGAGAACTGTGGCTTGCCTAAGGTCATCCAGCAGCTGCAAGTGGAGGACTGGGGAATCAAAGCCGGTTCTCCCAGATTAGAGTCCGCTCCCTTAACCATGACACCAAACTGGGAGCTTCAAGCGAGACACTCCTGTGGTGGATGCCCCCCCAGGGAGCGTGACAGCATCCAAGGGAAGGGGAGGGATGAAGCCCGAGGGGGCGGGGCTTACCTGGGTATATCCTCCTCTCCCATCAGCTCCTTCGGGATGGGGGAGTACCTCCGTGGGGAGGTGGGGGTCATGGCTTGCGGATAGTCACTGCCCAGGTAACTCTGGTGGCCAATTTCATTGTCCAGATGCTGGGAATAGGCTGTGGGGGGGGGAGGGGGAGAAATCAACTTTTTGTTTAAAAAAAGAAGAAGCCAGAAGAAGACCCTAGGGACTGAAAGGAAACAACAGTTTCAGAACTCGGAATCCCTTGCCGAAATCAGAATCTAAAACGACCTCAAAAAGTGCTTTTAAAGAAGGCGAATGAGCAAGTTTGCATCCGTCCCGGTCAGCTGTGGTGGACATGACCAGTGTTCCCTCCAAGCTGAGTTAGTGTGAGCTAGCTCACAGTCTCTTAGCCTCCGGCTCACATGTTTTTGTCTTAGCTCAGGAAGGAGGGCTCCAGAACACACTAATTTATGCAGCAGCAAAATCGCTCGCTTACAACTGTAATGCCGGTAGCTCACAAGGTAGAATTTTTGCTCACAAGACTCCATGGCTTAGAGGGAGCATTGGACATGACTCCTTCCGCCCAGTTTTCCTGACGTGCTCAGCCTCTGCAGTAAAAAATTAGTTCCAGAGAGCAACCTAATTGGTCTGCAGTAGAAGAGCTTGACTCGAGTCTGATAGCCCCAAAGAGACCAATAAGATCTTTTTTTGGGGGGGAGTGTCTGACGAAGGCAGCTTGGACTCTCAAAAACTCATCCTGCAAGACTTTGGTCATAATACTGATATAGATGATTGGTCCAAAACATGGAAAACGCTAAAATTTATGCGAGCAACCTCATATAAAGAAAACATATATAAAATGTTTTACGGGTGGCACTGGTCACCAGATAAATTAGCCAAATGCTATACAAACACCTCCCAAAACTGTTGGAAATGTAAACATAGTATAGGTACTTACTATCATATGTGGTGGAGGTGTAATATAACACAAAATTATTGGTGTAGAGTACATAAATTAATAAACGAAATCATGGATATAGATTTACCATATATACCAGAAATTTTCTTGTTAAATATGTTACCAGATGAATGTAAAAAAAAGAAGAGATCAATATGTTATAATGTATATGTTAACTTCGGCTTGTATTGTGTTTGCCAAATATTGGAAATTAGAGAAAATACCTTCAAAGGAAGAACTAATTCATAGGTTGTTGGATATAGTGGAGATGGATAAATTATCATTAATTTTACAAGGAAAAGACGAAGATTTGTTTAGAGATAGATGGTATAGATTATATACCTGGTTAGAAAACAAGCATTGTAACAGACTCACAGTATTGTAATCAAGTTAATGTAACTGATATTGTATCAGTGATGATGTGAAAATTTTAAATAAAACTTTTTAAAAAACCAACAACTCATCCTGCAAAAAAATGTTTTTGTTGGTCTCTAAGGTGTGACGGGACTCGGATCTAGCTGTAAAAAAAATACAAAGGAGGAAACAGAAATCCACCTGCTCAAATCTTAGCACCGTTCAGCCAAGTTGGAAGCCCTTTTGTCCGCCCCAAGGGGCCTTTGGTCACAGGAAGGTACCTGTCCATCATCAGAGGAAAGGTTTCCATCTTGGCTGAGCAACGCCGGAGGCTACAAGCCAGTGCATCTGCAGGAATATCCCTGACAGGAGCATCTGCTTGAGCGCCCCCACCTCCAAGTTCCCTTCTGCCCCAAGAGAGTTCTCGGCAACGCAACAACCGCGGCCAGTGGCCAAAGGGCGGAAAGGGAAATGACTCACAGGAAGTGATGTCAGGTGGGGCGTAAGAGTCGTTCAGATAAACGTTGGTGGGCTTGGCGACCTTCAGGTAGACCACGTCGTACGTGTTCTTCAGGGCAGCCACGGCATCTTCATGCATCACGTCTTCCAAGCTCACATTATTTACCTGGGAGGGGGAGAGGAAGGACATTCCGTCAGGTCTCTCCAGCCTAACCCCCCCCCCCCCCCCCCCCCCCCAAATCCAAGCAGCCACCACAGACCAGCTGATAGAGCCCAAACCACCATGTCCACAAACAGACTGAGGGGACAAACAAGGGCGCTGTCAAGTGAGTGAGCCAGGCCCTAACATTAAGAGAGCCGGCGTGGTGTTGAGGCTAGAGTGTCAGACCCAGATCTGGGAGACCCAGGTTCAAATCCTCACTCTGCCATGGAAGCTTGCTGGGTGACCTTGGGCCAGTCACAGGCTCTCAGCCTAGCCTACCTCACAGGGTTGTTGCGAGGCTGTCAGCTGCTTTGGGTCCCCCACTGGGGAGAAAGGTGGGGCCCAGAGCCACGAGATAATTCCCTCCCAAAACTTAAATATGGGTGATCAATTGAAAAGGGAGTACCCGAATGGGAAGGGACCCCCAGTTTCCTGTATGAGTCACACAGAGGAGGCAGACCCGGCAGAGATGGAGGCTGAAGTTTAGCCGAAAACGCTTTTAATTTTGACCTGTTGGTTCTGGCCCAACCTTCTGGGGCCAGAACCAACGGGGTGAAATTAAATCAGAAGAGTTTTCTGCTAAACATTAGGAAGAACTTCCTGGCAGTTAGATTTCCTCCGTGGAACAGGCTTCCTCGGGAGGTGGTGGCCTCTCCTTCTTGGGAGGTTTTTAAAGCAGAGGCTAGATGGCCCTCGGACAGCCATGCTGATTGTGTGAACTCAGGCAGATCGTGAGGAGGAGGGCAGGAAGGGTTGCCTCCGTGCTTAGTTCTAGTGGCCCTTTCTTACACGCCCAGGGAAATGCTCATCGCCACATTGGGGTCAGGAAGCAATTTTTCTCCAGGCCAGTTTGCCCGGGGATCCTGGAGGGTTTTTTGTCATCTTCTGGGCATGAAACAGCGATCACAGGGGGTGGAGTGGGGGAGGTATTTGTGAATTTCCTGCATTGTCCATGGGGTTGGACTAGATGACCCTGGAGGTCCCTTCCAACTCTATGATTCTATGTTTTTAATGCATTTTTATGTGCTTTACCTATGCTGTTAAGCCACCTTGAGCCCCATAAGGGAGACAGGCGGCTAATAAATGCTTTTGATAAATAAAAACCCATACACTCCTTGTGAAGCGGCCCCTTCTTTTCCTTTTCGGATGAACGGGGGCTTGCATGGCTGTCTACTCTCCCCTTCCAAAACACTATCTCTGCACAAAGGAGGCAGATCATGGAACAGCCTAGCTAATACGTAGTGCGGCCCAGAGACAGATAGAACTAGGTGTGTCATGTTTTTTTGGGGGGGAGGATTCTCCCTTGCCTCCCAAGCTGGTGATCGGTCCAGACCTTTAATACTGCTGGGGCCGATATTCCACTGCCCCAAATCAAGGGGCAGAAATGCCACAATGCCGCTACGGACCTCCTGCCCCTGCTGGCAACTATTCTCAGAAAAGGGAGCTCCCCCTCCTTTGGCAATGGCCCAAGCAGCCCCCTGGTCTTCTCCACACACACCCCTTACCGCCAAGATCTTGTCCCCGATCTGCAAGCGCCCGTCCTTGTGGGCCGCCCCGCCCTCGATGATTTTGGTGACGTAGATGCTGTTGTCGCCGGGGATGTGCTGGTTTCCGACCCCGCCTGCGATGCTGAAGCCGAGGCCTGCAAGGGAGGACGGGAGGGGGGGAGAAGCCAGGGAGTGACCGACCGACCGGAGGGCGGGGCCAGCAAGTGGCAGCGGGAGGCGGCCACGCTGCGATTAGAGGAGCAGACGTCCGAAGAGGGCGGGGCTCTCTTCCCGGCAGGGAGAGCCTCTTTAGAATTCACATCAGCATCGGCAGGGGTCATTTCGTAGAAAAAGAGGTGCAGGAGCTCATTAGCATAACTCATTAGCGTAACTTATTTGCATATGCCACACACCCTGACATCACCGGACGTGTGTCTGAAGGCAACACCCACCGCTTAGGCTCCACTAGACTGTTTTGGATTGCTAGCTATTGGGTGGGGGGGAACATGCAGATCTGCCCTAGCAGAGGAGGTAGAGCTTGTACCTGAATAAAACTTGGCCTTAAAGGTGCCACTGGACTGTTTTGGATTGCTAGCTGGGGTGGGGGGAACATGCAGATCTGGGAAGGAAGGAAGGAAGGAAGGAAGGAAGGATGGAAGGAAGGAAGGAAGGAAGGAAGGAAGGAAGGAAGGAAGGAAGGAAGGAAGGAAGGGAAGGAAAGGAAAGGAGGAGGGAAAGGGGAAGAAAAGAAGGAAGGAAGGAAGGAAGGAGGCTTCTTGCTCCTCATTGCCTGGGGCTGCTGGGAGCAGGGGGCGGGGCTTGTTGCATGTGCCCACCCCCTGGGCTCTTTGCTGCCGGAGCTCCGCTCCTGTGCGCTCCTGCAGGAAATGACCCCTGACATCGGAAGTGTAGTATGGATGGGAATGTAAAGATTTTTTTCCCCTTTCTGATTATTCATATTTTTCTGGTTTTATAGATTTTTCACCTAAGTAAGATTTCATTAGGATGTGACAAAGGCCTACTAAAGAGTAGGCCTTTCTCTTGTAGGTTAGAGCATTTTTCTAGCAGATGCTAGCAGACAAGAACACAACATTCTTTGGGTATAGAAGAGAGGTTATGGAGTTCATGGTTTTTAGTTGTTTAGGGTAAAACTTTGCAGTGTCTGAGTCCAAAGGATTTTAGCTCCGTATCAGGAAAAAGCACCTTTGTTTGGGTATAGAGAATCCTCGGCTAATACTATTCAGGTTAGGTCAAATAAAACATTTTAAGATATCACGTAGGCACGCCTTCCTCTATATTTGACCAATGAGTGGACTATTACTCAAATGATGCACTGTCCTCTGTAACTCAGGGGTCATTTCCTGCAGGAGCGCACAGGAGCGGAGCTCCGGCAGTAAAGAGCCCAGGAGGCGGGCACATGCAACAAGCCCCACCCCCTGCTCCCAGCAGCCCTCAGTCAGAGCAAGAAGCAGCCGGGTAAGTTGCAGAGCCCCCCCGGGCCAAAACAGTCCAGTGGCACCTTTAAGACCAAGTTTTATTCAGGTACAAGCTCTCCCTCCTCTGCGAGGACAGATCTGCACGTCCCCCCCCCAATAGCCAGCAATCCAAAACAGTCCAGTGGAGCCTGAGCGGTGGGCGTTGCCTTCTGACACACTTCCGGTGATGCCAGGGGGTGTGGCAAATGAGTTATGCTAATGAGCGCCTGCACCTCTTTTTCTACAAAATGATCCCTGCTAACCAATTATGCTTTTTGAACGTTATCTTCATGACTACGTCATTTCAAGCGTAAAATTTCATATACTTCCTGACTGTGTTCGGAAAGCAGTCGGTTTTTGATAGGCTAAGTTTGGCCTAACTGTTTTCAGGTGTCTTCATTGCAATTAAAATCTACGAACCTTTCTCAACATTTTGACTTCTCTTTTTGATTGGGAATCTATTTGCATAACAGAAGGAGGACAGACCCTAAGTCCGTCTTCCTCAGCACCCTGGTTTCCCAGGAGGGCTGCAAAACCAGCCCGAAGTTTGAATCCTCCGTTGCAGCTGAGCCCCAGCAGTCTGCGCTGAACAAGGAAGCTGACCCTGCTAGCAGCCTCTACATTGCCGTCTGTTAAAGTGGTACACACCTTCAGGGAGCGGAAGCACCAGGTGAGGCACGGGTCCTCTTTCTTAGGGAGTGGGCCGTTACCAAGAGCCGCCCTCTCTTGAGCAAGCGGATCAGACCAAAGGCTCCGTGAAACTCGGCCACTCAGGGGCATCAAGAAAGCTTGCAAGCGGGTCCTCCCACCCATACTTGGTATGAAAAGGTACCCTGCCACTGAAGGTGGAGGTTCCATCCATCCACACAACGGGAGGTGCACCGGCAGCTCTAAGAGGAGGAGGAGGAGATTGGATTTATACCCCGTCCTTCACTTGGCGGCTTACACTCTCTTTTCCCTTCCCCTCCCTACAACAGACACCCTGTGAGGGAGGCGGGACTGACAGAGCTCGCTGGAGAACTGCCCTTGAGGGAACAGCTCTGACAGAACTATGGCTTGCCCAAGGTCATCCAGCAGCTGCAAGCGGAGGAGTGGGGAATCAAACCCGGTTCTCCCAGATTAGAGTCCACGCTCCTAACCACTACACCAAACTGGCTTGGGATTGGGCAGGGGTGGTGGTTCTGTGTCAGGGGGTGGAGTCTCTCGAGGAGGGTGGATGAGAGCCAGTTTGGTGCAGTGGTGAAGTGCGCGGACCCTAATCTGGGAGAACCGGGTTTGATTCCCCACTCCTCCTCCACATGCAGCTGCTGGTGTGACCTTGGGTCAGTCATAAGTTCTTTCAGAGCTGTTCTCTCAGGGGCAGTCCTTGAGAGAGCTCTCTCAGCCCCGCCTACCTCACAGGGTGTCGGTGGTGGGGAGGGGAAGGGAAAGGAGATTGTAAGCCGCTCTGAGACTCCTTCAGGTAGTGAATGGCGGGGCATAAATTTAATTGCTTCTTCTTCTCCCCAATGGGATAGAAACAGCTCTTCACAACAGTAACCCCAGTTCGGATCCCGTCTTTTCAGGGTACTATCACTGCCCCCCTGCCCGCCTCCCCGTCCACATCTCTCAGTCGGTTCGGCCTACGGGACCGGAGGATCTTCATTGGGCGGGGCCTCCCCTCGTGCATGGGTGTGCGTGTGTCTTCCGTAGGGGGAGGGCCAGAGGCCAGTGTGCTCTCACCTTTCGGCCCTTTGATCAGCTTGATCTCTATCATCTTCTCAGCCAGCGGCTTCCGGCGCATGACGTAGAGGCGCACGATCGAGCCGGCCTCCTTCAGTGCCTCGACGGCGGTGCTGTGGGTCACCTCCCGCACGTCCACGTCGTTCACGAAAAGGATGCTGTCGTTGACCCTGCGACACACGCGGACCAGAAGGGGGAGGGGATCTTTAGCAGGGGGAGAAGCAAGAGCCGGCCGGGGCACGGGGTGTGTGTGTGTGTGTGTGGAGGGAATCAGAGCTGCGGCTGAGGCAGGCGGAAGAGGGGCAAAACCCACCCATCCCCATCCCCCCCTTTCCTCTGCGCCGTCTCCCGTACGGCTGCCTGCCCTCCTCCCTCTGAACCCTCCGCCCCGTTCTCTGCCCCCAGATTTCCTAGTAGGAAGATCCCCGGGAACCAGAGTTTTCTAGGGCTTCCTTATAAGAGATTGTGATGAACAGTGCCGGACGAGTATCTGGGAGACCCAGGTTCGAATTCTCACTCGGCCATGGAAGCCCGCTGGGTGACTTTGGGCCAGTTACACTCCCTCAGACTAACCAACCTCGCAGGGTTGTTGTGAGGATAAAACGGGGGAGAGCAGGGGTCATTCCCTGCCGGAGCGCCCCGGAGCGGCGCTCCTACAGAAAGGAGCTCAGGCCCCGCCCCCTGCCCGCAGAGACACTCAGAGGGTTTTTTAAAAAATGCCTAGGTTCCCTGCCTGATCTTCTCCAGGTGCCCCGCGGCATCTGTTTATCCCAGGACAAACGTGGGGCGCAACCAGGGTGACCTCATTGTATTGTGGAAACAAAAATTACCCCAAGATAATTACAGGGGTGAACTCGTGTGCGGTGTAGATGTAAGTTCGAGGACAGGGTTGAACCAGGATTTAAGGTCTAGTGCAGAAAGGACCACTATCCTTCCTTTTGGGTCCCAACTTCTAGGGACTAGAACTCTTTTTCTTTGCCGTCAAGCCATCGCCAACTTATGGCGACCCCTCGTGGGGGTTTTCAAGGCAAGAGGCGTTCGGGGGTGGTTCCCCCCTGCCTGCCGCTGCATCGCGACCCTGGGCTTCCTGGGTGGTCCCCCATCCAAATACGAACCAGGGCCGACCCAGCTTAGCTTCTGAGATCTGAGGAGGCTCGCCCGCGCCATCCAGGCCAGGGCAGGGACCAAGCCTAATAATGCACATTCAAGATCATTTGATCTTTTAGAAGAGAAGAGACTGGACTCCTACCCCGCCCTTCACCACCCAAAGGTGTCTCAGAGTGGCTTACAAACCCCTTTCCCTTCCCTTCCCCACAACAGACGCCCTGTGAGGCAGGTGGGGCTGAGAGAGCTCTGACAGAAACGGCTCTTTTTCAAGGACAGCTCTTATCAGAACTATGGCTTGCCCAAGGTCATCCAGCCAGGTGCAAGTGGAGGAGTGGGGAATCAAACCTGCTTCTCCCAGATTACAGTCCGCGCACGTAACCACCACACCAGACTGGCTCTGCGATACCTCTCCTAACATTCCAAACCCATCTCGCCAGGATATCTTTACCACCAGCGGTAAAAAAGCAGCCCTGTTTGCATCTCCAGCCAGCATCCTTTCCCCAACACTCGGTCTTTCCAAGCGGGGAGGGGCCTGTTCCTTCCCAACTTGCTCCCTTTCCACAACTTGGCAACGCCGGCCGAGCGGCAGATGGCACAGCTCCGTCGGCCGGGCCAAGGCACAGGTGTTCCAACCGAGCCGAGCGTTCCTTACCGCCTGCCAACCACGGAGGCTGATGTTGCGACGCCTCTGCCGCGTGCCGGAGTGGGGTGCGCATGGCTTCCAGGCGGCTGGTTAGAGTCCCGCTCCCACCCCCAGGCCACAAGAGATCTGCAGTCCAGACCTCTGCATCTGCCCGAAAGGCGGAGGCGAGACGCGGCATCGTGGCCGGCAATAAAAGCCTGCACACTGTCCCCTCTGGGAAGGGCTGTGCGTGGAGTCAAACCGGCGGTCCTTCTTGCGGAGCATTGCCCGCTCTGACCGGCAGCGCTCACCAGGGTCTCGAGGAGAGAGAGACCTTCCCCGGAACCTGTTCCCGGAGCCCGGGGCCCTTCTAGCTGCTGAGCAGGCCCCTAACCACTGACTCTTCTGCCCTCCCACTTGAAAGACGGGGGAAGCAGGATGCGGCTAGAGAGGCCTGGAGGCCAACTCAGGACCAGGCCGTGCAGCCTCCTTCCACGACATATTGCAAACGTAGAATGTTAAGAGTTGGAAGGGACCTTGCAGGTCATCTAGTCCAACCCCCGGCACTCTGCAGGAGCACAGCCGAAAAACAGCCCTACGACATACCCGAAAGAGGGTCGTCCAGCCTCCGCCTGGAAACGTCCAGCAAAGGAGCATCCACCACCTCCCGAGGCAGTCTGTTCCACTGCTCAACCACTCTGACAGTTAGGGAGTTTCTCCTGATATTTAGCCAGTAACGACTCCCTTGTAATTTCCACCCATTAGATCTAGTCTTGTAATCCGGAACAGGAGAGAATAGATCTGCTCCATCTTCTACATGACAGCCCTTCAAATACTTGAAGACTGCAATCATGCCCCTCTAAGCCTTCTCTTTCCCAGGCTAAACAGACCCAACTCTTTCAGTCTTTCCTCATAAGACTTGAATTCCAACCCTCTCACCCTCCTGGTTGCCTTCTTCCGGACACGCTCGAGCTTGTCAACACCCAAAACTGGACGCAGTACTCCAGGTGAGGCCCCTGACCATAGCAGAATAGAGCGGAACTACCACCTCCCTTGATCTGGACACAATGCTTCTGTGAATGCATCCTAAGATTGCATTAGCTATCTTCGCAGCCACATCGCACTGCAGGCTCGTGTTTAGCTTGTGATCAACCAGAACACCCAGATCCCTTTCACATGTGCTGCTGTCAAGCCGAGTCCCTCCCATTCTATATCTGTGCCTTTGATTTTTTGTACCTAAGTGTAGGACTTTGCACTTATCTCTATTGAAATTCGTTTTATTTGTCTCAGCCCACTGTTCCATCCTATCTAGATCATTTCGAATCCTGACTCTGTCTTCTTCAGAATTAGCAATCCCACCCAGTTTCGTGTCATCTGCAAATTTGATAATAACCAAGTTAGAGCTGCAGTGGAAGCCCTGGAACCAGTGTTCCCTCTAAGCGGAGTTAGTGTGAGCTAGCTCACCGTTTTTTAGCCTCCAGCTCTCTGATTTTTGTCTTAGCTCAGGAAGGAGGGCTCCAGAGCAAACTCATTTATGCAGCAGCCAAATCGCTCGCTCACAACTTGAATGGCGGTAGCTCACAAAGTAGGATTTTTGCTCACAAGACTCCACAGCTTAGAGGGAACATTGGTTGGAACCTCTGCACATTGGCGCAAAGGGGGGAACCCCTTTGTGCTCATGGAGACCCGGAGAAGAGCGTTTCATTGGGCAGCCATGTCAGTCCGTAGAACAGCGAGATTTGCACCAGGGAGCCGTGCTCCCTCTAAGCTGTGGAGTCCTTTGAGCAAAAATCATACTTTGTGAGCTACTGGCATTGTAGTTGTGAGCGAGCGATTTGGCTGCTGCATAAATTTGTTTGCTCTGGAGCCATCCTTCCTGAGCTAAAACAAAAATGTGTGAGCCGGAGGCTAAAAAACTGTGAGCTAGCTCACACTAACTCAGCTTAGAGGGAACACTGGCTGCCATCCTTTCTGAGCTAAGACAAAAATGTGTGAACTGGAAGCTAAAAAACTGTGAGCTAGCTCACACTAACTCAGCTTCGAGGGAACACTGCTCTGGAGCCATCCTTCCTGAGCGAAGGCAAAAACGTGTGAGCCAGAGGCTCAAAAACTGTGAGCTGGCTCACACCGACTCAGCTTAGAGGGAACACTGCCCAGGAGCATCTTCGAGGCTAACTAGATTTTCGGGGTAGGAGCTTGCAAAAGTCAAAACTCCCTTCGCCAGACGGCGAAGGGAGTTTTGACTTTTGCAAGCTCCTGCCCCGAAAATCTAGTTGGCTTCGAAGACGCTCCTGGACTTGACCCTAACGTGGCAAGAGGAAAACCCCCCCCCCATACCTCAGTCGCCCGTCTTGTGCCGCTGCCCCGCCGGGGATGATCTTGGTGATGAAGATGCTGGGGTCGTCCCCGACGTGGGGGTTGTCGGTGCCTCCGGCGATGCTGAAACCCAAGCCGGAGTTGCCCTGCAAGAGAGAGCCAGGCCCCCCCAAGCCGGGGTCAGAACCGATGCCCCAAAGCCCCCTCGCCTCCCTCCGGGACTGGCTGCTCAAGCTCCTCCCGCACCCCACAGGGGAACGAGGTCGATTCCGGCCAGAGGAATTACCCTTTCTAGTGTGATCTCCTCGTACTCCATTTCGCCTTCTGTTCCATTGACCTGAAGAAAAAGAAAACGGGGGGCGGAGGAGGGGGGGGGAGATGAGTTAAAGTGGGGTCCCAGAAAGGAGGGACAGGCGTGCCGTCTGGCGGGGGCACTAAAGGATGGCGCAGAAACCTCCGGGAGTACATCTGGAAAGAACGGGGGCAGCCACTGTTTGCCACCTCGGAGAGGCTATGCAGTGCGCAAGTTTCCAACCTACGCTCTGCCAGGGAAGCTCGCCGGGTGACCGTGAGCCAGACATTCTCTCCCAACCTCGCCTACCTTGCAGGGTTGCTGTGAGGGTAAACTAGGGGAGACGGGGATTGGGCGAGCTGCCTCGAGTGCCTAAGAAGGAGGGAGGGATATAAAGACGACAGATAACCAGCCAGGGTAGCTGGGAATGAGAAATACTCCTGGCAGTGTTGTTTGCGTCGCTGGCACGTGAACTCTGATATCTTCTCTGAAAACGCAAACATGGGACTGGAAGTGTCTGTCATCCTTTCCTCAGGCCCAGACCGAGTCTGCAGTGGGGGACGATGAGGATCGGGGGGGGGGGAGCGGAATCTGCTCCTTCTGTCAAGAGTTCACTGCCACAGGAGGTGGCAGCGGCTACAAGCATGGATGGCTTCTAGAGGGAATTGGATAAGCATATGGAGCAGAGGTCCATCAGTGGCTCTTAGCCACTAGGTATAGACAGGAACTCTTGGTCTGGGGCAAGGGATTCTCTGTCTTCTTG